GGCTGGGGGCCGCCGCCGTCGAGTCCGGCTCGATGTCGGGCTCCGGCTCCGGATCCCGCCCGGGGGTGCCGCTCCGGGGACCGGGCGGAGAGAGCTGCAGGATGGGCCTGCGGCCGGGTACCGCCCTGGACTTCTTCCCCATCGCGAGCCCGAGCGCGAGCTCCCTGTCTCTGGCGGCCGCGGAGGGCGGCGCTCGGCGTGGCGATGCGTAATCAATATTCATACACTGTGACGCCACCTCCAGCCAGCTCTTAACCGGCGGAGCGCGCGCTCGCGCGTGCGCCTTGGGTGCTTTGCGCTCTTCGGACTCCTCCTACATCAGGGGGAGGGGCGGGCCTTACCCATGGCGTTACATCATTGGCTGTCTCGACCCAGAGCAGGAACTAGCAGCCAATGGTAAAGGCAAAGGCGTGAGAGTCGAGCCAATGGGGAGGAAGGACCTGAGTTTAGCAGGACTTCCCCATCTACGTCAGGTTCCACCCTTGCGTTTTTTGTGGAGTCTATTCTTTGCCCCTTGTCCTCCATTTTGTGGACGTTTTCGCCTGTATGCCTCGATTTTGCCATTGGTGCCCTAGAAAGCTTTGCTGCGAAGCCCTTCCCCGAAGTTTCGCCCTAAAGACTGTGGTTTACTTCGAGTATATCTTTGACTATTAACATAGAACATTGGGTCTTTGACACTGGTGGTGTTGGGATGTGGAAAGAGCTTTAAGAATTTGGTCCTCAACCTACTTTTCCCCCGCGCCCCTCACGCCAACCACTTGACACACAACGTTTCTCTCATCATCAATCTTTCGCCTTAGCTACGGTAACAACCCCACTGCGTGGCAAAATCCGTTGCTTTGTTTGCTCAGAGCAGACAGCACCGAGATTTTCTCTGGCTGGCCCCATGGGGAATTGACAGTCCCTTGATTAACCTGTCTCTCCCTCTTGAGTTTAAGAAAAAGCAAAACAAAAAACACCTAGTATTATATTCACATAGTTACCTTAGTTCCTAGTGCATTGTAATAATAGTTCATTTATTAGCACTTGCTAAATACCAGGCACAACACGATTTATGTGGGGCCCCGGTGGGGGTGGGGGGTGGGGGGGCAGTGGTTAAGAACTGGGCAGCTAACAAGCAAGGTCAGCAATTTGGAACCACCGGCTGCTACTTATGAGACCGATAAGGTTTTCTACTGTAAAGAATTAAGGCTTGGAAACTCACAGAGTCACCCTGCCCTACAGGCCCACTATGAGTAGGCATGAGCTCGAGAAGTGTGCATTGGGTTTAGTTTGGTAGGAGCCTGGTGCAATTCTGGGTTAGGGTTTGACGGCTAACCTGGGATTCAAACTCACCAGCTACCCTTCCAAGAAGAACAATGAGGGTGGGTTGTCTGTACCCATGAAGGTGTAGTCTCAGAAACTCTATAGAGGATCGCTGAGTCAGAATCCACTCAGAAGTGACTTTAAGTACTTTATATGTAAAGATACATTTGACTTGTGAAGTAAATACTATTATCTTTCTTAGATGAAAATCCTCCCATCAGAACAGTGCTATGCTTTGTTCCCTGAGGACCCATCGCCTACACCACTTTCATAGGTGTTTCATAGGAAACACTAAATGTTTTTGGATGGATACAACACGTGTGCCTATTTCGCAAACGTGAAATAAGCATCAAGACGATGACAAGTACGTTTGGATTAGCTATATCTCAGGTTCAGACTCACTGCCATCAAGGCTATTCTGACTCTGCCAAACAGGACAGGGTAGACCTGCCTCGGGGGCTTTCTGAGACTGTAACTCCTAACAGGAGTGAAAGTCCATTTTTCTTCCATGGAATGTGGCTGGTGATTTTCGACATCTGACCTTGTGATTAGCAGCCTGAGTGTGCACTACGCTACCAAATTGGGCTCCCCAAACAACTGGAAATTTAATAACTAGAAGCAAGGGCACACTGTCCATTTTGAAGCTATTAGCAGCTTTCTGGATTATATTTTGGGCTGAGTCGTGCAAGACATTCCTGTTGACAAGGCACACAGAGTTAGGCTAGAGTCCTGGAGCTGGAGGAGCCACGTGGAGACCCATGCCAGCACTGAAAGTCTCACACCGCCACTGGATCCACAAAACTTTCTACCCACTGGCCTGTGATCTTCCTGCATTCGGCATCATTGCAAGTGTTTTGTGAGTCTGAAGAGGACTTTATAGATTGGTATCAGACATATGGGCTAATATCGGACTTAATGGACTTGATCTAGACTGGGCTGGGATGTTTTCTCAATATTCAATTGCTCTTGTATATAAAGCTCTTGCTTATACACATATGATTGTCCATGGATTTGTTTCTCTAGTCAACCCAGACTAACAGGTGCAGATTTCTGAAAACAAACAGATCTGGGGTCACAACTTCACTCTACTGCCTTCCAGATTTGTAGCAATAGCACAGACAAGCTTTTTGTTTATTTCTGAACCTTGGTGCAGTGGTTAAAGCACTCATTGCTAACTAACCACAGCAGTTCGGTGGCACCAGCTGCTCTAGGGGAGAAAGATGTGGTACTCTAGGGCCACAGATTACAATCTTGGAAACCTTATGGGAAATTCTCCTATAGGATCTCTCAGTTGGAATCTACTGAAATGGCAATGGTCCATAGGGAAAAACTTGTATCTGGAAAATGTGTTAGTCGCTGTGTCTACAGGGTTTGCTGTGAAGTTTGGCTTTAAGCTCTTTACATGGAGCATGAAATAGACTGTAATTCTACTAATTAGCCTTTTGTTTAAACACAATTTTAGATTCTATTAGGAAATCTTTTTGTGTGTGTGTGTGTGTCCCTGGGTGGGCATGAACCTATTAGGAAATCTTTAAAGACTTCTGTAAAGTGTTGGAAATGCAGATGGTCACTTTGAGGACTAAGGTGTGCCTAACCCAAGTCATGGTATGTTTAATTGCTTCAGTTGCATGAAAAACCTGGACAATGACTTTTTTGAAAGCCTACTGCCCTGGAGTCAATTCCAACTCGTAGAGACCCTATACCGGGTTTTGGAGGATGTAAATATTCTTTTAAAAACCAACTTTTTATTGTCACTCAGGTGGGGGATTACATTTCCAGATCAACTCTGCATCTAATAGCCCAAACCACTCATCAAAGCCTTCAGCAGTCCAGCTCCCTGACCTGCTCTCACCTGCTCCCTGACCTTCCCTCCTTCCCCCCACCCCCTCCTGCTATGGACCACTATCCTCCATTTGACCCAAGTCAACACCTGTCAACAATCCAGCCCATTTCCCCCTCCCCCTTTGGCAACCTCCAAAGTATGTCCCTTTTGGTGGGCGTCTTTTTCCTCCCCTTCCCCCCAACTATGTAAATCTTCATGGGGACAGAAAGCCTCTTTTCTCTCCCTTAGAGAAGCTGGTGGGTTTGAACCGCCTACCTTGCAGTCCAGTGCTTACCAGGTAGCACCACCAGGAAAAGAATGCCCCAAATTGGTGCCTTTGAATTATGGTGTCGGCAAAGAATACAGAAGATACCATGGATTTCCAGAAGAACAAAAATATCTTGGTTGGAAGAAGTACAGCCAGAATGCTCTTTAGAAATTAGGATGGCGAGCCTTTGTCTCATGTGCTTTAGAGGGACAGAGACTGATGGTGGTACACAACCGGGCAGCCCTTGTTTCTACTCTGTGGTGCATACGGCCGTTGTTGTACATAGGGTCTCTCTGAGCTGGAATGACTAGTCACCCAACAGCCCACCAGAGGTTATGGATCTGGCTAGAACCAAGTTGAAACTATGAACTGAACAGTGATTCACAAACATGGGAAAGGTGGCTTCCCTGGCAGGTAACTTCTTTTTTGATGGCTATGCGATTGTGCAAGAAGGGTTCCCAACCCTGGCTGTCCATAGAACCATCTGGAGCGCGTGAGAGCAATTCAAGAATCGGAATAAATTGGGCTGTGGCAGGATGTTGTTGGTAGGTGCCTTTGGCTCTGACTTCTGGTGACTCTACAGGAGAACAAAACGTCCCTTGGTTCCAGAGTACCTATCGGGTGGAGCAGGTGTGGGTGGACCACATCAGGTGACAGTCAGAGGGACCATTTTGGCTGTCTATAAAATTTCTCTGTCACCTGTGTGATCACGAGGTGCCAAAGGGATCGGATATCAGGCATCAAAGAACAAA